AAATCTCCGCTGCATTTAGGGGTGGCCATAAACTTATTCAAGTTAGTGGAATATGCAAACCATTCCCAGGCTGGCCCATAAACCTCCATTTGAAATCCTTCATATTTTTCAGCTGGTGTTATTCTGAAGCAATACTAGAGCCTTCATTCCACTGTGTCTCTAAAAGACTAAGCAGAGGACCCAACTACTGATCTCTTCACCATCATTCTATTTCTTATGTGGAGGGTTGTAGGGACTACTGCATTATGAAATCACTAGACTAGGCAGTCAAATGTATTCTCTGTAGCAGCTAGCATGCACTAATCCACTACTTTGCTTATCTCCCAGCAGCATTTGACTCAATTACCTATTATTTCTGAGATGAGCTCTCCAAACTGTTTTCTAAGGTGCCAGTACTTGTCGTCTTTTGTCTCCATCAGTTTTCTTTGCATGCTTCTTTTAGTAGAACCCTAAACTTTGCAGAACGTGGACTCAGTGCTCAGCCATTCCTAAACACTCTCTAGGTCTCCGTTTATTTGATAAAGAAGTGGTTTTAAGTGCTACAAAAAGCACAATTATTGGCCCTCCCTGGTGGCGCAGCGGGTTAAAGCACTGCACTGAGAAACTAAAGCCACTTCCTCATGAGTTCAATCCCCACCTGCCCCGGAGGTGACCACATGGCGAGGCAGACCTCTCCTGACCCGCCCGCTGCTCCCCTCAGCAGTGTACTTCCTGGATCCGCCTGTTCTGCTTCCCGCTCTGTCTCTGGTGAATCCTCTCACCCTCCGCATCTCTGGCCTGTACCCCAGTTCTGTATGAATAAATAAATAAATCTTTAAAAAAAAAAAGCACAATTATTATAGAACTGGATGACAGATGAGAAATGTATCAACAATTAGGAAACCTGCTTACACAGGTCTTTAACAAACACTTGATCAACACTGGTAACTGGCTTGCCTCCATTAAAATATCTAATATTGTAATGGAAAATACACACCAACATATTTATAGGAACCTATGGTTGGATTATCTGTATTTTTTATAATGGACACAACATGTATTTCTAGGTTACATGGTAACACAGAACTTACCATTTAACATCCCGTTTTTTGAAACAAAGTCAAAATTTCAAAATTGCATACCCTTTGACAGTCTGATTTTTTCAGATTCAACTCACATCAAAAGAGTTCACTAGCACTCAAGCCACCTCTTAACATGAAAGCCTGTTTAAACCCCTTGTGTTCCTGTAATACAAATGAGAAACTTTATGGATTGTTCTTTGGTACAATTTCCCTCACCAAAACGTGGCTATTTTACCTCCCAAGTCATTTAAAAGTTGTCATAGACCTTGACTGGAAATCTTTTGGTTTACTTCCCCTATCATTAATCCAACTTGTTTACTTCAACTTGTGTACTAGTAGCCAAAAACATTTCAGAATAGAATACATTCTCACCAATGGTCAAAACTCTTCAACTGCCTATTGTCCTCGGGCTAAAAACTAATCTACTTAAGGCTGTGCTATGTCTGACCCCTAACTACATATTAAATATGCACCCATTCACAATCCATAGTTTCAGTTCTTAACATGAGAGCAGGAAGCCTCCTTTAATTCATCATTTACTAACAGGCTAGCACTTAGTGGCTCAACAATTAATGAAAGTTAAATCAAAATAGCATTAACAAGTCTTCTTTTTACCTGAAAGTGGACAAATAATAATAATGAGCAGATTTCAAGCACTTCTAGTTTCTAGAAAAAGTGATGTTCATTATGAAAGATGAAGCATTGTTTTGGACTTCCAAATTATTAACTAAGGCTTCAAGGGACATGACAAAAAAGTGATAGTGTTTCAAACACAGGACAGGTAAGTAGCAACAGTAGAAATGCAGTCAAGTAAAAAATTAACACTTAAAGTGACCCCATGTGACACCCAGTGTTTTTAAGGAAAGTGACTGTGTTTTTGGTGGGGAGCTGGAGACAGAAGTGGGCATGAGAGATGGTTTATTAAGAACAAATACATAAAAGTAAAATATCACAAAAATGAAAGCATTCTTCGGAGGCAGCAAAATTTATCAGAACTCTTTAAGAGATCAAGGTCAAAGAGTACATTACAATTTGACCAGTAGGTGGTTAGTAATCATTCTGTTTATTTCTAAGTGTTTAATTTTAAACCTGCCCTGTACTTGGTAATGTTTAAAAACACTCTGAACTATATACTACTAAACACACTGGAAGATTTCAGTCTGTCAAAAATACCCAGAAACTTCACTTAGAAATTATGACATTCTATTTACTGAACACCATTACCAAGTGAAATGTGATTATTCATTTGTCTAATAATTTTAAGTAACTTAGCACTCTGGCATCAAATGGATCAAAATTATTACTACTAAATAAAGTCTCATGAACACAGAACAAGGGTCTTTATTCAACTCATATAAATCTAACTTATGATAAGCAAATTAACCTAACTTAAAAAGTAAAAATATGAAAATGCACTAAACTTTAAGATTTACTTGCTACAGGCTATCGCATAGCATAATTGAAATATAAACATCTATGATGCTAAAATTCTCAAATATGTTGTCCCATACAAATTTCCTAGACCAAGTAATTTCCTCCTTTAAATGTGGTTATTTGAATATAATGTGGGACATACATTTTATCCCTTCTTAAAAATGTTTCTCCAGTCAAAAGTTAGATATGACAATTAAAACTGAAAGTGAGTTTATACAGTTTTAAAAATCTTTCACCTTAATTTCCTTAAGAATATTTAACTATGGTTATTCTGGCTTTTGTCCAATACAAACTTGTGAAGACTAAAGGAATCTTCATTGTTAGCAATATCATACGTAGAAATTCATTTACATCATTCTTCTTAATGCAAGTCTCAAGTTCTGAAATTGTATGTCTTAAAACCTCATTTTTGGTTTGAAGTATATATTCATAGATGTGACTACATGATTATTTCTGTAGAGCTTGAAAATGTGTTCCAATTCCTGAACTTGGGTCATGTCCATAACTTCAGGTAGCCACAAATCTTCCCATCCACTCTTCTCCTTTCCTTTTGAGATATGAAGGTTGCAGTGTCTTGGAAAATCCATTTTTTCTTAAAGTAAATGTTTGGTTTCCTTTAGATCACTCTCACTTTCTTTACTAATTACTGTTGTAATATTCTTTAATTTCTCTACTGGGCATCTAAATGAACTGGGGTATATCTTCAATAAATTTTCAGTGTTATTTAAAATATTTTACTTTACACATCAATTTTCACAAATAAGCAGTTGGTGTAGAACAACTTCTTATCTTAGGTTGTGTGAAATGTAATTATGAGGAAATATCTTGTAACACAAACCTACACATTAAATTAGGGACATAGATAAATGCTGCAGACAGACATCAGTAGTTTATTGTTTGTTTAGTCCAAACACATTCAAAAATGGAAACTCAAAGAATACTTTCCACCTGAAACAAACTAGATTCTACTAGCATATAATGCTTAACACATTACAGCAATAAAGATGGTAATCCATTGTCTTCTATACCTACTAAAGCCAAGATGGTAAAGCTGATTTGGTTGCAAGTATCATAAGGATAGAATATTACCATCCAAAAAAAAAAAAAAAATTAAAAATCAGCAATTAACAGTAATGATAGATGAATATTTTTACTGTTTCACTGAAAGGGGGACATGTTAAAAGTCCACAGTACTGCAGGTGAATAATCACCATGTAAACTTCTCCATGATGTTTTCGTGTTTTATTTGTGGTATGTAAAGACTGAAGCTGAATGGCTCTTTACTCTAATTTTCTATTACACTTAACATTGTAATTACTTTTGGTGCCAGAACAATTTTCATGGGTAACAGGGCAATACCCTGCATTGGAAATTTTATATATATACACACACACATATATATGTGTGTGTGTATATATATATATAAAGGGAGGGAGAAAGAAATGGAAGAGTAGAAGGAAAATATGCTAAAAAATCCAAAACAAAACAAAAACACTGACAATAAACCACTTGTTAAAAAGTGATTTCAATAAAGGCTTCAAAACGCAAAAGTAATTTTCTGGTAAGAACTTCAAGTACTATACATCAGAAAGTGTAAAACTGTTTCAAATAGGAAAAATCTACAACCCCCCCAAAAATGGAAACTAGGAGAAATTGTGTCCCCCAAATATATCCAATAGTGCAAGACTTTTCCTCAAACATGGAAGACCTCATTCATGGGAGGAAAAAAAACAGATTCAATTTTATTTATATTGCCCGGTACATTAAAAAACAAAATGTGCATCATTTGTTACTTTACTAAACAGCAAACGGTTTCATATAGAACCAGTCTGCTACTATGTCAAGTGCATTTTTTGTTTTTACTACAATAGAATGGAGAAGTCTTCCATGCTAACAAGCAGCTTTAAGTGGTCACACTTATTTACCCACCTCCTAGCTTGAAACATCAGAAACTGGTCAATACTAAATGCTCCAAGCATAAAACTGGATATCTTTTGCCATAGTTGTGGTTTACTGTAACTTGCTATACAGACAGACAATCCAGCAGCTACAAACTTTGCTCACAGATTGTTTAGAGATTCATGTAAAAATAAAAGATGTCGTCCCAGACTTAAATTCAGAGCCACTCGGGTGCTGACATCAGTTCGATAATTGTGCAAAATGAATGACAGTTCCCTGCCCCCCCAACCCCATAGAAAATGCAAACACTTAAGAGCTGCTGTTCTTTTCTCTGAAAATTGCAGTATCCTCACTTCATGTTTACTTGCTGTTTATGGACTCTGCTTTTAAAATGTTGCTAAAAATGTATATTAAGTTGACTGACTTTTCCAAGCACTTCTCAAGTGATATGCTTCACCGTTCACATTTATGCTAAGAGAAAAGTCAACAAGAGATTTACTCAAGTAACTGACTTCCTCCTTCCCTCTCCCTCCCCAACACACAAGACTCACTCCCACAGAGAACACAAAATTGTTAACTGAACAAGGTATATAATATGCTAGTCAATTTTACTGATTTTAAAGATACTGCAATTTTTATACACTTCAATGATTTTCAATATTTTGCAGCTGTTTGGCTTTGCAGCACAGCAATTCATACACTATACTGTACAAAATTACCAGCAAGACTGGAATGATGTATTAATAGAAGGCACCATCATGCTTATTACATTACCAGAGAACAAAAATACAGTAAAGACAATTTTCACTGTACACAGCTTAAAGAAAGGAAAAGGGGAGGAGGAGTGTGTTGAGCAGCCAGCCATCCCTGTACTGAAGAGGGGCAGGTAGAAAAATCTTAGATATGGAGCTACTAAATCTGGTCTAATATTCAAGACCATAGCATTTGAAGTTCTGATTTTTGTTACTTAGTTCACAACTAAATGATTTCCTTCTGGAATATACTGTAGTCTTGTTAAGGTTTATGTGTACACACGCTGGTCACAGCAAACAGATAAAATGCCCTCATCATTTCACAAACTACTTTCTACTGGAAAAAAAGATGAAAGAAATTTTTCCCCTGTTGCCTCCTGTTGCAGATGTCAATGTTAATGAGTTCAAAGTACCCATTAGTGCATTTTGATGAGTGCGTAACAGTTTTTGTTGGTTTGTATTTTGGGGGGGAGCCAAGAAAAAAGGCAAGATTCTCCAATTGCACAAATTGCACTAATTTTGTTTCCAACATTAATAGGCAGAAACAGTAACACTTAAACAAAATGTGCAGCAGAGGATTTTTTGACTCAAAGGACCTGAATTCAGTTGGGCATGTCCTTTTAAGTTCATTTTGTTGTAGATAGTTTAACATATGGTCATTTCTCAGTCCTTAAATCTCCAAGTCTAGATTTATAAATTAATGTGAGTCCTGTCGTGAAATTGGGGAAATAATGTCCACCTCAATTTAACTGATAACCAAAAGATGTTTTCACATCAAAGAAATGATCAAAAAGGCTGTGTCACATTCCAAAGCCAAAAAAAAAAAAAAAAAAAAAACCAAGAATGCAAACACGATGAATTATGTACCACTGCTGCTAAGACTTTGCCAACAGTGGAGCTTCAGCGACGCTGTCCTGTGAAGCGACCTTCCATTTGCCCGGTTCCTCTCCCAGAGCCAAGTTTTTGTGCCATGCCGCCTCTTGGAGGAGGTCCTCTTCCATCTCGGTCACGCATCATTCCACCACCCACTATTCCACGTGGACCACCAGGACCGCGATCATTGCGCCGAATATCCCTGCGATCATCACCACCACCTCTGGTTTCTCGCTCTCTTGCAGCTCTTGTTTTTTTCTCTTCCACATTTAAACGCACTTCCCCTCGAAACATAATTGGCTTTAGGGGAGAAAAAGATTTACAGGGGCAGGTTAGACAGCAATAGTAATGTATTTTCTTTCATACATTAGAAATATCTAAGATAAAACTCCCACAAAATTCTTAAAATGGAATCTATTCCAATCTTTTCCCCTCAAATCTCAGGCTTAAACTACTAGCATGTCTTTACTCTCTGCATAAATGACCATTTAATGAACTGTTTTAAGCTTTAATAATTGCCATGGTTTTAAAAAACACTAAATATTATACACAAGAAAAATAATTAAATCTTTAATCTTACATCCTTTAAGTTACTTACTTTTGCAATTAAGATTCTCTGAACTGGTTCAGAATCATCAAAAACCACAAAACCAAAATTTGGAAGCTTTCCTCCAACACCCTTGGTATTGATGCGAAGTTCTACAACATTTCCAAAACCTGTGAAAATAAATATTACATCAAGGTTATTTTAACAGAAAGCTTGGAAGACTTTAATTGTCCAGAATGGACTTTTTTAACTTCCCTGTTTCATTTTAAAATTAAAAGGTACAGGCTAGCCCTCCCTGGTGGCGCAGCGGGTTAAAGCACAGCACTGAGAATCTGAAGCCACTTCCGTATGAGTTCGATTCCCGCCTGCCGCCTGCCCTGGAGGAGACCACATGGTGAGGCAGACCTCTTCTGACCCACCCGCTGCTCCCCTCAGCAGTATACTTCGTCGATCTGCCTGTTCTGCTCCCCACTCTGTCTCTGGTGAAGCCTCTCACCGCCCCTGAGCCTCTGGCCTGTACCCCAGTTCTGTATGAATAAATAAATAAATCTTTAAAAAAAAAAAAAAAAAAAAAAAAAAGGTACAGGCTGCTATACTGAATAACTACTATGGTATATTCAGATACAGATGATTTACCTAAGATGCTTGTTTGGTTACCTTTCCGCAACTTATCAGTTTTTGAAACGCTATCTGAAGTTTTAGAAAAACAGTATTTTTTAATTTTCATTTGCCAAGTGAGTTTCAATAGAAATTTAAGGCTGAGTCCTCCAGTGCTTTCTCCTAGCTTACTGAACCAGTTCAATCCACACTAAGTACAACTGCTACAAAACAATGTAGTCTTCTCTCTTCTGATCAATTAAATTGATTGCTACAATATATATATTATTTAAAAATTATGGGAAAAGCTGAAGACTTCTGCTCATCTTTAAAATACAGAAAAATGTATCACTTACTCATGAAAAACTCTTTCAGTTCATTTTCATCAATATCATGTGGCAAGTTACCAACAAAAAGTTGATGACTATCTGGATAGCGAATTATTCTACGGTTGTCAGATTCATTCTGTTCGATGTCTCCTCTGCCTGATAAAAAGAAATAGAGTAGATATTTAAGAAATCACACTCTCTCAATATTCCTGTTTTAGTTTAATGAGATAGTGAGCTGCTGAACAAAGGTGGTTAGTAAGGTTAGAAAACAACACGACTTACACTATATAAAGTGAGGGACTGACTAGGTCCCTTCTTTTAGATCTACTGGTCTAGTCATATGAAAGTCAAAAATTAACAGTTATTCTTCCTTAACCAAACTTTTGCAGTCACATCAAATTGGTTTCAGATACTGAGGTATACTTGTAACAAATGCTATTTAAGTATTTTAAAATTTACAGTGACAATATTTGATTACATATTACAGCAGTATCAGTAAATTTACTAGTAGTATATCTCACTTCACAGCATTTTACACATACACAAATCTGATCTGATTTTCCTAATAACACAATAAACAGCATAGTGAGAAAAACAAGACATCATAAAAGAAAAATTCATGTAATGACTGAATGGCATTAAGATAATCTCATAACTTAAGGGTCATATCTGAACTCCAACTCAATCAATGACAAAACTAGGACAAAATCTCTAGCTCCAATCAATCCTTTGTTTAGTAATTTGTCACTTATATTTACTTTGGTGGAATAAGAATTCCACTTTCTAAATTTGATGCACGGTATGTCTCCCACCTCTATCCAAAAGCAATTTAAACATGTCTATAGAATTCAGATATATATATATATATATAATACACACACACATATTTGTATTAGCTAACAACAGAAACAAGTCAAAAATTATGGCAATCACTTTAACACCTATGATAATCAAAATAAGAAGAATCAGGGTGTGCTTACTGTTTATCTGTGAAGAGATTAGCATGCTAAGGAACAGCAGGTTATTTTGATTACCAATAAAATCTGTCTCCAAATTCTTCTACATTTCCCAAGTACATGTCTCTATAACTTGTCAATGAGTCCTTCCCTAAAAACTGTCTTACCCCAAGACTATGTTTTATGAAAAGGGTTTATACTGTAATGTATAAAATACATTACAATAATTTAAAGCTTAGTCTCCCAACTTTTCAAGGCCTAAATGATATATGAGATGATATATGAGAATTATAGATATATAAATGATATATAAGAATTATAGAGGGGGCTGACTCACCTGGTCTTGGCCCTCTAGGAGGAAAGCCAGGTCGTTCTCTAGGTCGCTGTTCACGTACACGAGGTGGCTGAGATTGAACTTCTGGCTTAGCTTCAACTCTCGGCTAAAACGCAAGGGGAAAAAAAAACACATTAAAAAAAGAAAAACCACATTCCACAGGAGAAATATTAACTAAAGCAACTACAACAAGATACTAGCAAGCCTAACAGTAATTTTAAAGCTTCGCATGTTTTCAACATAGTGTCCTATGTATGTGAAATTTATTTTTATAAAGATATTCTGTACCAATCTAGGACTGTAGGGTAGTTTTGTCTTTCCACTCAAAGTTGTATAACTCAAAATAAGCTGCTTTTTAAAATTACATTTTCCCCCAATAATTACATCCATACCAGACAGCATAAAAGGTACTGCTACAAAAATCACAAAAATGTAAGATGAGCCACTGTATGTAAATGTTTACACAAAATAAAAAGCCATATTTATCTTAGATAGGTAAGAAATATTAGTAGATAAGAATATATTATCCAACTTGCTACTCTTCAATGTCCAATAACTTCTAACCCCAACCCACAAATCAATCTTGAAAATCAGACTTTGAAAGTTAAAAATAAGCAGTTTACCTTACCCTAGAGTCTAAAATTACTACCTTTCAGTTAAAATGCACATAAACTAAAGAGAGGAACACGAATATCTCAAGGAAGTCCTCTGGTTCTGTATTGTTCTTCTGTAAAGTGTGCATTTACCGAAGGACTGACCCCAACCATTTCCCTAAATTGTGCCTGAGGGGGAAGGTGTATAGTTGTTTAAAATGTTCTATGACATTTTAAGATGCCTTCCAAAGTTTCTAACTGAAATATTAAACAAATGTAATTAGAATAACTATTTTAACATAAAATAACATGTTATCTGCTATAACATAATGGCCTATACAGTACCCCCAATTTCTTCAGGCTGTCTACTGACCAAATATTTAAGGCCCAAAGAAGAAACAAAACATAAATGTCTTCAAAAGATGATGGAAACACTCAGCAGGATATAAAAAACCATCAGAAACTTAGTAATTTCAGGTTTGTCTTTATGGTTGATCATTTCTAAGGACTCAATCTCTTTCATAATCTAATGATGGGATAATATGATTTGCAAGAGAAAATTATTTCACCCACTGGAACCAAAAGGTATGTTAATTTCTATACTAGCAGTTTTTAATAGGTTTGCCTATCTCTTTCCAAATTGTTTTCCTACATGTAGGTGGCCCCTTTCCCTCAAGGTATTGCTTCCCATGTTCTAGAATTTTGCTGGTTAAAAATTAAAATTTATTTTCTCCAGTTGTTTTCAATTATTCATATGTATATATCCCATATAATAGACCATATCTAATTTCTACACCACTCTGCTAACCAAGCACACTGTCATCACACAAAGATGTTCAGTTTAGTTTCTTTAAAGTTAATTTAGTTTTTTGCTGTCTAACCAAAACCATGAAGGGGACCGCTCTATGCCTGACAGGAGGGGAATTTGTTATAGTTTTGAAACCACTGCTATTTGTATTTTGAATTAACATTATATAGTCATTTGACACAAAATGTGATGTCTGAAAAGCCAGTTATTTAGAAATTTCAACTAAGGGGCTCTAATAAGCACTACTTTAGCATGAATATAAAGCAGATGGATATAATAGTTAAAGAAAAGGTATATTGTATTCAGGTCTGGTAACGCTAAAGTATTAGAAAATGAATAAAAACAGCAGATATACATTTCATTTTAAAAAATCTCTTTAAGAATTTTAGATGACTTCTATTTAACTATTAATCAAAGCACTTGAGGCACCCTGGCTGACTGATTTAAATTGTTTTCCAAACACCAAAACAAAAGTAACCGTTAAGTTGTAGAATAAAAAGTTCCTAATTATCCTTTAAGGATTTAAAATTTAAAACAAATTTAAATAATTTTCTAACACGTTAACGATCCATTCAATGACTAACAGACCAGACTTTTACTAGATATTTGATGATGTTGATGCCAAAATATGAGAACAAAAATCTAATACTCCTTTCAGTAACCAATTTTTATCAGCAAAACCAGCTGCACTCTTACAAATCTTCAGGCTCATTTTCATGATTAGAGATATTTATTATGAACATTAAAATGGTTAAAATACCACATCCCATTTTAGGAACTAAAGCTAGCTCCATGCAATGACATATTACTTCAGGACCTTAAACTAATTCCATGCCACCAGAAGTGTGCTACATGAAAAAATCCCACAAATGAAGAATATGAAGTAAAATGGAACCATAAAATAACAACACATATAACCACAAAAAAAAAAAACTCATAAAACAAGTTCTTCACTGAATAGAGGCTAGTTGAATGAACTAATCAATTTCCAGACAAAATGTTTTTACCAAGAACCTAAACTTTCCCACATCTAAATGAAACTAAACCTTCCTACATCTAAGACTAGCTGTAAATCTTTTATCAATAATCTATACTAAAAGTGTTATAGGACGATACTACACCAAAGTCACTAAATCAAAATTAAAGTTTATTTAATCAAGTGGAAAAATCATAAAATCATTCTAAATATAACCTAAAGATGCAAAAAAAACTTTTAAAGTATACATTATACTTAAAATTTGTTTAAATAGGAGGGGTGGGCTGGCAAATACAGTATAGTCGCCTACAATCTAAAAATTAACTTCAAAACTTAAATTCCTTTCACCCCTGGGCAAGAAGGTAGATATACTGAAATTTAGGCATGCTTTAAAGATAGTAATCGTCTCTGATCTGAAGCAATACAAATCGTCCAAAGGGCTAAATAAATCCATAGGCTTACCAGCCCTACTATTAATATAGCTATCTGACTTTGTATGAGGTACTGTAGGCCTCAATTTTCCTATTTTTATATAGATGTAATAATAAAACCAACTCTCACATAGTGGTTGTAAATTAAGAATATAAAGTACCTTTTGCACAACTATGTGTTACATATTAAAAGCATAATAAAAATGACCTATTTTAGGTTTTAAAGCTATTAAGTAATAACCCGAAGGATTCCAAATGCAAATATGAGATTTCAAACATTTCAAAAGAAAAACCAGAAGTGATATCAGGTCATCAGATGAAATGAAAAGTATAAGCAATACCTGGCAAATTAATTTAAAAAATGAAAATCTGTTGGTGACCTGAGGTTAATTACCCGATTATTTCCTAAACAATAGGTATTCTACTACTGTGTAGCTGATATACCAACACCAAAAAGATTATATTTACTAGCTATTTTTGTAATATCAGAAGTTTCACTGTTTAAGAGCATGTAAAAGGTACAAATTTATGTGCACTAACCACTTTAAACATAAATTTTCTAGTGGAATAAAATTTGACTCAAAGTCTAGGGAAAAGAACTGAACACTCTTTATGCCTATAAACTTTTAACATTACCTATAAACATATTAGGTAGCAAATGTTTATTTTCAATGTTTTTGAAAAGCTCTGAAATGGCAGATGAAAAACAGACAAAGCAGGATACTAGAATGATCAGTTAAGGTGAACACTACAGTCGTAAGTTGGTACAGGCTTCAATTAAACTGTGTGAAACACTTACAGACTGAGAGCTTAGTGTTTTTTAAAAAAGGAAAGTTTTAAAACAAAACAATTGTCTCCTTATAATGCCACACTACTTTGTGTCTTTCCAAATTTCTTCCCTAAAATATTTAATTTTAAAAAGGAACATGTTTTTGTTGTTTTCAGAAGCCTTTTAAATGACTATGTATACATGTATATTGGTAGAACCAACTTATTCTGTATTTCACACACCCAAACCCCAAATAACACCGATGTAGATGATGAATGGTGATTTGGCATTTAACGTGGGTGCATTGACATTTAATACAATTTTTTAAATTTAATGCATAATTTATGATTGACTCATTTTTAAAAGTATGAAAAAGATAAGCATTTGGCAATGTAACAAGGATACAATCCAATGTGTTCACAGATTGGTTACCTGTGAGACTGGTGCTTTAACATGGGGTGGAATTCCAGAGGAAGAAACAGTACCACTAGGAGGCAGGTTTTTACTGGTCACTGAAGCCCAGGAGAAAGCCTGCAGGAAATGCAACAAACCTAGACTACTAATCATGGAAAACCACCAACATTCCTACAGGGAAACTTCCAAATATATATTTTGTTTTCATTTCTAAGCTATTGCTCTATAGTGAAGGATTCCTAAATGAAAGGCACACACACACATGCCAGTCTATGTGCCAGATTTCAAAATCTCATTATACAAGATTATTTATCACTATTTTGTCTGAACTACTAAATAAAACCACAAGCAATTTCCTACAAGCTCTAAATAGAACAGCAAGTGGCAACAAAACCACTAACAACTACACAAGATAGAAAAATCTGAACCTAATAGAACCAATTTCTTTTAGGAGAAGATAGGGTGTGTCATGGTGTTAAGGGGAGAGGGAGATGAAAGGAAAGAAAAGAGCACTAGCTGGAACCATTAAAAGACATTCACAAATTGAACAAGGAATCTATCTGCTCCTCTTGCTACCCAAATATACTTTAACCTACTTTACAGAAAGATAAAGATGTCTTAGGTAGGCTTAAAAGATACAATCTCTGGGTGTTACTCATCTTTCCAAGATAGTTTAATTGGTGTAGAAAGGAAATGTTCCCATTTAAAGCAGAAATGTCTATAAATAATAAAAGGCCAACTTGTTTGAATTGGGAAATTATGACTCCTATTGTATCAGCGCATAAAGAGCTTAATACACAATGGAAGAGCAACTCTCAGCTCTATAAATGTATTTGAATAATTTCAAGTAAGATGCTAAATATTGCATACAGACAAGGATGCATTATAAATTTCCTTTAGGGATATTTTCTTCGAGGGGTTGGGGGGGAAACAAAGGAATTTCCTCAGGATTACAAAAACCCCACAACTTCCATATACATCAAAATATAGTTTACTATATTAAACAATTTAACATATTAGAACAAAGGTCATGCTTCATTAATAGTACCAAATATGAAAAGTGTGATGTTACAGGTCTGAAAAGTTCCTCTGATCTAACCTTTGGTGGTTCTTGTGGCAGAGAAACAGGTTCAGCAGGGGGAGGAGAAGTAGATTTCTCCTCTAATTCTTCTAGATTCTTCTCTTCCACTTGGGGTTTCAGCTCTTCAGTCTTTGTTTCAGATTCTGGCTCAGGTTCAGGTTCATGAGAGGACTCTTCCAAAGGTTCCTCTATGCCATTACTACAATAAAATATTTTGTTCATTATTCAGTAAGTGAAATGATCAAGTTCAAATAAAATTCATCACTTCCTAACCTAAAGGGCACAATTAGTAATCCTGTTCTGTATCTATAAGCTGTTTTGAAGCAAGTTAACTGGAAAGCAGAAGGGAATAATACTCTCAGGCAGCAATTTTTTAATTCCACCATTTAAAAACTAGATTACTAAATTATTATTTACTTTAATGCTAACCACAATCCCACACTTATATAAAGTGCTTACTTTCTATAGTTTCAAACTCTGCATTATCAGCCAATGATCAGTATTAGGTCAATTTTTGAGTTAAATAAAGTAATTCTTCATGTATATAGTAGCTATCAAAACTGGCATGTTTGGTGGCTTTATTAAGAAATTCATCCCTTTCCAACAGTAACTCTAGAACAAAACCACCTTTCAGTACATTATAGTTGAAACCAAACATATTACAAAGAGCATTCTTACGTCACAGGATGAGCTTCATAGTAACCACTGTTGGTGTTTTCTTGCACAGGTTCTGGAGATGGTTGCCGTTCTTCTTGTTCCTCTTCTACTTCATCTTCTGACTCTAACAACAGTAATTATAGCACACATCACATCTGTTTTTAAGCAGCCTCACACTAAGTTTCTGATTTGCATATTTTTAGTATATTAAAAGAAGAGATGATAGTAAAAAACTGGCACAGTTTTTATAAAAGCAGTCAACTGTATAATTCCCTGTTCTCTCAAAAAACTTTAGAGTAAAAGTAATATGAAGTTTGGTTATTTGTTGGACTCTTAAAAAAAAAAATCTTAAAAAATAGAAATGGTAGAAAATACATGCTATCAATGTCATTACCTTAGTTTCCTTTATTTTGATAAAAGGGGGGGGGGAAGCCATTAACCAGAACAGGGAACATATGGAGTGAAATGGGAAAATCAATTCAAAAAAATTATGGTATAGTCAAAAAATTAACAGCCAACAAACTTACAAGTGAGAAGAGCTAAAAAAAAGTTTTGATTAGCTACAGAGACTGATATTGGGGCAAACTTTTTCTGCCTCATTTTTACATTAATTCATAATGAACAAGTCTTAAAACAAAGGAAGGGAAAGGGAGTTTAACAAAGTTGTAAGAGACAGACAAATTTCTGTTGTTTTATACTTTTTTTGTATGATATGAACCATTCTACCTTGAAAGCAACCTCACCTTCATCAAGTTCTGGTTCAGAATCACCAAATACTTCATCTTCATAACGAAACATATCATTGTGAACATAAAACTTATTTGGAACAGATCCCTATAGCAAAATAACATACAAATATCGCATAAATCACTTTTGGCATTAAAAAAAACAACAACAAATTACACGGCACATAAATTTTCAATTTTAGTATTATAGCAATGTAGATTTGATATAATTTCCAAAGTTGAAAATACCATATTATATAAACTACAAAAAAAAATTGACTAATAGAAAAGAAACAGGACAAATTAAATAGAATTTTCTCATTTGAGTAAATGAAGACTATTAAATACAGATTTATCATTGTTTTATTTCTTGTATTCTATCTATAATCTCAATCATCTATTTACATACTGTATTGGTACTATACTAATCAAAGCATTCACATACACACCCAGTGCTCAAATAAACTATACCAACAAAATACAATATAGGTCCAATACAAATTTCTCAGAAATAGCTACATGTGTTTCTAAACATGTAGGAAACTCCTAGGACACTTCCACTAGATAATAACTGTCAAGTAAAATCATGTTAAGTGAAAGAAATACTTACTTCAGGAGCCAAAACAAAGGTTTGCATAAACTTCCTCTCTGGCTGTCCACTGTTAGAAAGCAAACCCATGACCTGGACAACAACTCCATCACTCAATGTTGCATGAGCATCCACATGACGAATTTTAGTATGACATTCACTGAAGTTCAGAGATAATACTTTGTGGTGTATATCCTTCATTAGAAGATGAAGAAGGAAGAAATCCAAACTTTAATGCTACTGCATCAGAATACAACAAACCTTCACTGATGTCCTTACAACTCTAGAATATTAACTACTTAATGTTTCTGTCTCATTTGAATACACTCTACCACCCTAAGCATATTGCCAAACTAATGTCCCCAAGCCATCATTATCAAGATGTCATCCCTCTATACATGAAAACATAATGGGTGTCTCATATTATGTGATAATCTGTGATTTTATATAGCTTTTGCTCACTCTTTTGCATTTAGCCTTTTGTCATTCTTACAGATTTTGTTGATGACCCCTGAACTCATGCCTACTTTTCTTTATAGCTTTCAATAATGCCATTTCTTCTACTTTCAATTTTCTCTAGTTTGGTAAAGTCAAATCCTACATTTCAGAGTATAGCAGAAATTCTATGTCCTCTACAAAGTACTAAAAAGCATATACTTCTGTACATTCCAAAACAAAATGTGGCTTTGTATAAACTTAATAGTCTGACTAAACTGTTTAGGTATTAAAATACAAAGATGAAATCATGTCAAAGGAAATTTATATTATTTAAAAAAAAATACAAATATGTAAAAATCCTATATTTTCTTTGATTCCACCCCAATGTTACCACCACGTTTCACACAAAATCAATGTTTTTAGAACTCACAGCACATCTGACAATTATTAAAACAAAAATCTTAGTTATATTGAATAAGCATATTCAAATGAAACCCACAGGCACGTAAAAAGCCCATTTTTCAAATTGCTATCTAACACACAACAATCTTAAAAATACATGAAATTGATACTTACATTTTGGCCATACACAGCCTCCTGGGGTTTTCCACTAGCATCTACTCCACCGTGTACATAAGAAGAATTCCTGCCATAAAACCTATAAAACCATTAGTAGCGATTAACATTCAGTTGTCAAGAGAAATCTAACAATGGACCTAGTTTCCAGGTTATGCTGTCACTAGTTCTATGAACTTGAGCATGTTACCTAAGTTGTTTCCTTGTTTATAAAACAGAACAGTAACTGCCTCACAGAATTATTAGATGGATTAAATGATTGACAACATAAACTTACTACTGTGTCCAGCAAACTTTATATGCTTTCAGTCATTAGTTAGTATCATCATACCTATTTTTGTTAACTGAAAAAAATTCAAATACATTATAAATACTGATGCTGTAGTAATGTACCTACTTTCCTTTCAGATCCAAAAAAATCAGTTATCTAGTTTTATTTGAGAATCAGACTTCCAAACAATAAGGAATTCCAAAAAACAAATTTAAAGTGAAATAATTCAGCGACCAACTAGAAAAATCTTTATTACTCCAGCATCTAATTTCTCATTAATATCTTTATACTGCTCTTTAAGCACATAGTAAATTTGTGTTTTTCTGTTACTACCTAAAGCATCAGAATCAATCTTTTTAAATTAAAGTTATCAAACCTGAAAGTTAACTTTTTTTCATAGAGAATTCAGCTCCTACTGTAATAAAACACTAAGACTTTTTCTGTGTCAACTAATGTTCCCAGTACGTTATATGTATGGATTTATTTTAACATTTCTAAAACAACCTCATGATTTTAAGCACTATAATATAAAGGAGCAAAGTGAAGTTCAAAAGAGGCTGATTTAACTCCCCTGAAATTACAGCTAAGACATGAACCCAGACAGCTGGCTCTGAATCCATGTTTTTAACAACCATCAACATTTTTAAGTTTACATTATTTTTTCTCATGTACTACTAGCAAACATATTAAACTGTTAACAGTTTTATAGAGAACAATCAGGAAACATGTATAAGAAAAGCTTTAGAAATGAACATTTATCAATTTAATTTCTAGAAACTTATTCCAAGGAAATAACTAGAAAGGTACACACATATACATGTGTAGGGTTGTACAAGACAGTTTTAACAAGTGAAAAATTACAAACTATGTTTTCTCTAATAGAAAAATTGGTTACACATACTAACCGGTTTGTTATTATCTGAATGATAGTAGAAAGAGATTCACATTGCTGTACTTTGTGTCACTACAAAACCTCCCTAGTTAAAAATGTTAAATATGGTGTGAGTACAATGTGAAAAGACTAAATTCAGATAATGAAAGGCACCATTAATGTCTTCTCTCTTCAACCTCTCTCATAGACACATTTAAAAATAGTGTATTTTTATAATTAGAAAAACATATAGCTGTTTGGAGGATTTTTTTTGGTAGAAGGGGTGTTACTTACATATAAATATCTATTGGAATAACAGGGACTACTACATATGTGTAACAATTTATAGTATACTGCATGCTTGTAACTTTGACCTACAGATAAAAGACTGCACCTTTCAAAAGGAGAAATACCAGATAGTTTCACTCACAGCAGAGTATAAAGGACCAGGGGCGAAAATAATAATAATGAACAACTATATACTAGAGACATTTTACCGGGGTAGAGTAAAGAATGGGGTCAGAAGTGGGGAATGAAGTGGGGGGAAGTGTTCTGAACTATGGTGATGACACACTGGTGATTTGGTGATGGAAAGCCCACAAGGATTACAACTGAGATGGAAAAAGGCACAAAATGATGTGAAAAGAAAAAAGACTGTGTCTTTCAAAACCACTTGATGGGTTCACTTATAGGAGGAATGTAGGCGCTCCAAATAAGAGAACAGGGAAACAAAAATAATCATAATAAAATAAAAGCCAAAATTAACAGGCAACTATAAACCAGAGACACTCTGCTGCAGGGGAGGAGGGAGTTGGATAAAAACAGGAGAGGGAAGAGCACCAGGGACTATGGTGCATAGGTGAACTGGTAGTAGGAATTTCACAGGATTGTACCCAAGATGATAAAGCATACATACATACATCGTGTAAAAATCAAGAATGACGTAAACACACACATACACACACACAAAGCATGTCTTTCACACATTAACTGGTGATTACTTATTCATCCTTAACTCAAGTAACTACAGTGCTCTCATACTTGCAAAGCCTTATCTTCTATCTGCTAAAATATACATTAAAAAAATTAATAGTAACAATATAAATCAATTTCAAGCTCTGTTTAAAAAAAAAACTTACAGATGCCTACCTTTTGCCAGTAGTAAACAAGGCACTTGCAGTTTTACCAAGAGATACCATTTTAATTACAAAAGATTTTTATATTGCTTTAAGAGCATGAAAAGATGATTTAAGATGTTTTAAGCCAGTAATTTCAAATTATAGATGGGGCTCCATGAATTAGTCAAGGCTCAAGTTTTTGTTTTTCATGAAATATAAAACACAGAGCACATACTTGTGTAAATGTATGTATTATTTGTAAATATGCTCTATCATGGTATTAATGGCATGAGGTGAAGTTTTTCTCAGTTTAGATTTCATTCAAAAAATATGAAAAAACCTGATTTCAGTTATTATTTTAATGGTCAAAATATTGGTTTAATGATGTCTACAAAGATATTGTCATAACATGAGAAGACAAGGCAAAATATATGCATCATATTAAAAAAATAAAAATACCAGATACATTTAAAGTTTACCTGTGTAAATATTCTGGAGCTTTATTCAGTAAAGTATAATATTGCCTCACAAACTCCCGCCCTACAAGCAGCGGACTGGGCTTCTCCATAACCATTTCTTTGCTGCACAATGTCAAATGCTAAGGGAGTAAACACAAGAATAATTAACTATTAGAGGTCATCTCTGAAAATCTTTATGTGATAAATAACTTGTAGCCATAAAAATAAATAAAGTTTCATATCTTTTATGAAAACAGAAGCAAAATAATGCAGTTCTAGCAACTACTGTAATCTTAACATTTGCATCGTCCCTTTGTCACCATTTCTTGTGCTCTCTTCCCCTCAAAACAGGGAAATAACCACTATTCTTCTTTCTAATTCCCAAGAGTGTTCAATGCTGCCTCAGAATATGAATGCCATAACTCTTTCCATTAAAGTACCTTTTGTCTTTGCAGCCCTACCATTTTAAATCCCTGGTTTTGTCCTTGTCAGTTTCCTTGAAAACAAGTCAAAGGACCCAAGTCAGGACTTGGATATTATATCCTCTTGACAAAGTACTTGTCTCTGCTCTGTATTCTCCCTTCTTCCAAAGATTAATTTCACCATTTTCGAAACGATAACCTTTAAAAATCAACTGAAGGGCCCTCCTTGGTGGCGCAGTGGGTTAAAGCACAGCACTATGATGAAGTGATCCATAGCCACTTCAGCATAAGTTTGGTTCCTGGCCAGGGAGGTGACCCACACTATGTAGGTCACCTCTCCTGACTCTCCTGACCTGAATGCTGCTCCCCTCAGCAGTCGATCTACCTGTTCTGTTCCCCCTCTGGTCTCTGGTGAATCTTCTCACTCCTCCACCCCCAAACCTCTGGCCTGTACCCCCGTTCTTGTATGCATAAATAAACAAATCTTTAAAAAATACATAAAAATCAACAACAGGTGGTAGTGCCAGGGTGTGTGGGTAGGCCAAACCCCCCGCACACTCACCCCCCACAACCAGTCAATATAAATCTAGCAGTCAGGGATAAATACAGATTTTTTAAAATTGCTGCATGTCTTTCCATTAATTAAGCATCTAATTACATAACAGGTACTGTTTATGATAAGAGGGAGGCCCTAGCATACAAAAACAAGGCTCTAATCCTCAAAGTATAATCTGTCATGGATATAAACAAAGAGGGGGAAAAATGGCTTAGATATTAAGAAAAAGTGACTCTAAATTGAAATCTTAATATAATGCAGTATGACCATAACCTTTACTTATTTAAAATAATCCCTTATATGGCTATTAAAGAACTCCAGAACAATCAAAATTAAAATATTAGGATTTGGAGAGAAGAGAGAAAACAAGGCATTCATTAAATATAAACACAGAAAAGCAAGCATCTTTTCCTATAGCACTGAAAAGCACTGGGGAGAAAAGAAACACCTCACAATATCTAAGGGTGTCTCTACTGGACAAATCTGTACGTGTTTTAAATTTTTGCTTAGCAAACTTTTTTTTAAAGATTAATTTATGTGCACAAGAACTGGGGCACAGGCGAGAGGTGCGGGAGTGAGAGGATTCACTACAGACAGAGTAGGGGCACAGAATAGGCAGATCCACTGAAATACTACTGAGGAGAGCAACAGACATGTGGGTCTGCCACACCATGTGGGTCACCTCCCTGGCTGGGAATTGAATTTGTGCTGCAGTGGCTGCAAAACACCTCATAATGCTGTGCCTTAACCTGTTGCACCACCAGGGAAGGCCCTTAGCAAATTAATTTCAACGTAGGTTTTCTTTAAACAAATAATTCCACAGCCAAAGACAGTCCATAAAATCATCACAAATGTGACAATTTTATTTATTTATTTAAAAAGATTTATTTATTTATGCACACAAAACTGGGGTACAACCAGAGTATACATGCAAGGGCAATGAGAGGATTCACCAGAGGCAGAGTGGGGAGCAGAACAGGCAGATTGATGAAGTACACTATTAAGAGGAGTAGTGGGCGGGTCAGGAGAGGTCTGCTGAGCCATGTGGGTCAGCTCCCTGACTGGGGATCGAATTCATGCAGAAGTAGTTTTAGCTTTTTAGTGCTGTGCTTTAACTGGCTATACCACCAGGGAGGGCTTAGTTGTGACAATTTTAAATTAAAAAATCAAGGTCCAACCATTGTGGAACCTACAATAAAAAAGCAGTTTTATACAGTTCTGGTGACTCAGAATTCAACTTTTCATTCAATGTTCTATTCTTCTATTTCCCCTTTTATAATGTCTTGAAATTCAATCTCATCCTACCAAAAAACCTCCAAATTTGTTCATAATTTTTTTATATAGTTCTCACTTGCTTTCAAAAAGTTAATTCACTGCTTCTGGTGGCAAGGTCAAGGGAAGAAGCAACGGCAAGATGACCCTGATTCAGACCCAAGAAGCAGGCAGGAAATGGACAAGGAACATAAGGATTTCAAACAACAAAAGCCCAGAAATTGCAGTATTCAAAGTGAAGGCTATCTGGAATGATATCCTGCCACTGGTGGATTTAATAATGTGGTAAAGCGTTAAGTTGCTCCTTATATCTATCTAGGGGTCTGATGACCCTTAATTCCATTCCTGTTTAAATCCCGGAAGTTTCTGCTATAACATCTGTTATCATATCAGTATTTTTTAGAGGTTGTTGTATATTTAAGAGTAAATTTTGCATTGAAGAAAAAAAATAATCACCAGTAGTTCATCTGCAATTTAGTTTCTCAACCATTTCTTCCTTAGCTGTGGAAAGAGTAAACCCAGCCCAAAATCCCACCATTACATTCTTCAGTCTGTTTTACACAAATTCTATACCACCTCAATTAAACCAACTTATGAAAAAATTCAATTCACAGCAGAATCATTTCAGGTGCTGTTAGTTTTCTTCTCCAACCTAAAAGTCAACAAGGAATTACAAGCCTTAATACATAAAAGGACTCTCATCTGCCACATTTATAGTTAACAAAACTAAACAACAATAGTTATCTTTTGAAAAAACAGGGAAAGGTGAAGAATCATTGTAAAAATCTTAATAAAAATTAAAAACCTGGTGGCACAACAGACTAAAGCACAGCACCATGAGGTTATCTGAAGCAGCATGAGTTCCGTGGCTGGGGTGGGGGTGGGGGGGTGGGGGCGGTGAGTGACCCACATGGCATGAAAGAACTCTCCTGACCCACCCACTGCAGCGGTGTTTCTGTGAATCTGCCTGTTCTGCTCCCCACTCCCTCTCTGGTTAATCCTCTTACCCCCCACATCTCTGGCCAGTCCTTGTATGCATAAATAAATAAATCTTTTTTAAAAACGAAAAACTTGGGCCCTCCCTGGAGGCGCAGCGGGTTAAAGCACAGCACTGAGAAGCTAAAGCCACTTCCACATGAGTTCGATTCCCGCCTGACCCGGAGGTGACCACATGGCGTGGAAGACCTCTCCTGACCCGCCCCCTGCTCCCCTCAGCAGTGTACTTCGTTGATCAGCCTGTTCTGCTCCCCAATCTATCTCTGGTGAAGCCTCTCACCGCCCCTGAGCCTCTGGCCTGTACCCCAGTTCTGTATGTACAAATAAATAAATCTTAAAAAAAAAAAATGAAAAACTTATGCACGCTTTAATATTCTACCAACTGATTTTAAAATACTGAGTTGCTGGAAGACATGACATATTTTTGAAGTTGAAGAGGAAATTGAGGAAGGATGGAAGATGGAAGCCAGGAGACCTGAAAAAGGCACATGGAGCAGAAAGGTAAGTGAAGAAACTGAGTTTGCTTTTTGGTACTGGATGGGTTTATACACAGATGTGGGTGAGAAACCCGTGGGGAGGTTAACAATGCCAGCTTTTATCTTGATTTTGCTCCTCCTATACCAGAACTGCTGTACTCCTTGTATTCCTTTCTTATAAGTTTACCATCACAAGGTGCCTTAGACTTGTGGCAGGCTTTGGGGCCTCAGTGCCCTGCTCCGGGCCAACCCTGTCTGTCTGGGCATTTACCCACAGGGGATAACTTCAGATGCTTCTTTTGGAAACTACATTCTTCCCCTTTTCTGTATCGCAAATCAACTGTATTAAAGTTTGTATACACTAGAGTATATTTTGTCTTGATGTGATAGACACACAACCTACTTAGGCAGATTTGGGGGTCCTGGGGTACCCCTCTCCCTGCCCTATAACGATATTAAGACATGGAAGATACTAACTTGTCCTCTGAATAAAATAATTCACAAAACACACAAAACATTTTTCTTCTAATCATTAACGACAGAAAAACTACCAGGGATTGTTCTGAACTTGAGGATAATCTTATTTCCCTCCTTCATGTAAGTACATGTTTACCTAATCATATTTTACTATATATAATGTAGGAAAAGTACAGTGCATACACTCCAGAGCAAAGAAAGCTCAAAATATAGTAAAGAATTTTGTGACAGTCTGAAAGACTTCAAACTGCGTACCACCTGTGCAATCACTAAATTATGATGGTCAGGATACCATCGATTTAGGTCAGAAAGACAGGCAGTGAAGGCAACTTTAACTGATTCTTCAATATATTAATTATTAACGTAAGTAGCTTGAATAGTGAACTTCTAATGGTAAATGTGTTAAGGAAATGCTGATCCGGTAAAAGCCTAAGTAAAGTAACTACAGCAGGTTATGCACTACTTTTTAAGGTATGGGGAGATCCCACACAGAATGGTAAAACTTAACTATAATATACAGATCAATTACTTCTTTAACATAAATGATTTAAAGTGACTAAGAATTTAGATGATTAAGGGCCCTCCCTGGTGGCGCAGCAGGTTAAAGCAGAGCACAAGGAAGCTTAAGCCACTTCCACCTGAGTTCGATCCCTCCTGCCCGGGAGGTGATCCACATGGCACAGCAGACCTCTCCTGAGCTGCCCGCTGCTCCCCTCAGCAGTGTACTTCGTCGATCTGCCTGTTCTGCTCCCCACTCTGTCTCTGGTGAATCTTCTCACCCTCCACATCTCTGGCCTGTATCCCAGTTCTGAACGAATAAATAAATAAATCTTTAAAAAAAATTTTTAGATGATTAAACTTGTAGTTGATGTAAATCAACTACAACAACCAGAAAGAAAGTAGAGGCGGGAGGGTGAGCAACCTCACCACTTTTACTTTTT